TGAAAACATCTTGTGGCGCCATTGTTACATTCATGCATGTTATGGCTGTGGTTTCGTTGCATTTACACAATTTGTCCATCAGGTGCAGGCCCGTAGCCAGCTATGAGTTCACCTAGGTCCGGTGTTGTGTAATATTCGGTTCCTGTGAATAACTGCTCCCGTGGGTGGAGCTTACGTGAATAGTCATTAGTTCCCTTGTTGTGGGCGTGTCCTTGAAACAACCCGCAAACGAATGGAGCTGAAAATATTAGTGCACAAGTAATGAAGTGTCAATGTTGAGCATTGAAGCATTAATTGCAACAGTGTCAAAACAATGCAGTTTGTGTAATATGAAAAATCGTCTGTAAGCTGTTTTGCTTGATTGATTTTAGGCACACAGCAAAACAATAAGCGAATAACCTGTGCTAACCTTGGGTAATATAGTTTCTTATTTTTGGATGTGTTTAGCTTTTTATACATTTCATTTGTGGGGCATTAATTGTTGTTTGAATAGTTTGATTACCCTATAGTTGGCTACTGGTGACTTGAAACAAATATATCTGGCACCTAATAAATAAAGCTATAAGCTAGCTATCCTGTGTCATCTTGTTTAGTTTGTATATAGCCAGTGTTTCTGTTACCTAAATAAGCTACAAACATACATACTGAGAACAATTTTTCTTGCAGTTAAATTGTTAATATTGTAATCATTATAATTTGTAATTGATTATATAATACAGTGCATAAACCTTAAAGCGTTGTTCTGATGCAGTCTTCTTGGACATAGGTCAGCAGCTACTCCAAGAAAAGTATTTTTCAATTTGGATAAGAAATCATATGTCTCATCATCACCAATGTTATAATATGTCTTTGATTTGCTTTTGTGATGTTTCCACATATATTCATCATCATGTACAGTCACAGTCTGTTTCAGATTGGATGAGAGAGCTGAAATCACTGGTACAGTAGTTGATCATGAACTGGACATACACGGAGGCTGTTCTAATCGAGTGCCAATAAATATCTCAGGGCAGGCACTCAGTTAATTTTGCATTGCTTCAAATCATTCCACATGCATACTTTCACACAACTTTCCTTGTCTTTTCCATTTGAGTTATATTCATAAAGCAATTACTTCTGTACTTGTCATAGTAACATTTAATGAGCAGATATGGGGATGGTAAGGAGGCCATGATGGTCAGAGGCCAATGGGCGAATTTGGCCAGGATGCCAGGGTTACACCCCTACTATTTTTCAAAGGACATCCTGGGATTTTTAATGACCACAGAGAGTCAGGACCTTGGTTTAACGTCTCATCCGAAATACTTTTTGTCAATATAGTGTCCCCATCACTACACTGGGGCGTTAGGACCCACACAGACCACAGGGTGAGCACCCCCTGCTGGCCTCACTAACACCTCTTCCAGCAGCAACCTAGTTTTCCCAGGAGGTCTCTCATCCAGGTAATGACCAGCTCAACTCTGCTTAGCTTCAGTGGGCAACCAGTCTTGGGCTGCAGGGTGATATGGCTGCTGACAAATGGTCAATATATATGAAGAGACACGAGGATCCACACTAAAGAGAAGCCGTTCACATGTGATCAGTGTGGGAAGAGTTTCACACGAAAAGGACATCTTAACAAACACATGAAAATCCACACTGGAGAAAAGCCGTACTCATGTGATCAGTGTGGGAAGAGTTTCAGAACATCAAGTGTTTTTAAAATGCATCAGTGAACTCATTCTAGTGAAAGACTATATAACTTTGAGCATTGTGGTAAACATTTTTTTAGGACAAGTGCCCTAAAGAGGCATCTGAAAGTTCATAAGGAGAAGCCTCATGTGTGTTCTTTGTGTGGAAAGAGTTTTAGTCAGAAGGTTGCATTAAAAATACACCAGAAAAGACACAGTGGTGTGAAGGATTATGCATGCTCTGAGTGTGGGAAGACTTTTTTATTTTTTTACAGATGGTGAAGTGAAAATGCATCAGTCAGTTCACACTACAGAAACACCTTATAAATGTTCACACTGTGACAAGAGATTCAAGCGGTCACAATGTCTGAAAATACATGAGAGGATCCACACTGGAGAGAAGCTGTATCACTGCCATTCGTGTGGCAATTTTTTCTTTCAGTTATCTTCTCTAATCTATCATAAAAAAGATGCATGTAAATTAATATGAGATTATTAGAATGATTAGTACGGTGGCCGAGAAGTGCAAAGCATATCACAATTCTGAAAACAAAATAACAAATTACAAACGCAAATGCAAGTCTGAAAAACAAAATAACAATTCAGAAAGCACAACAACAATTCAGAAAACATTATAACAAGTCAGAAAACACAATGACAAATTCGAAAACAAAATAACAAGTCAGAAAACACAACGACAAATCCGAAAACAAATTTACAAGTCAGAAAACACAACGACAAATCAGACAAACCGGAAAAGTTAGTTATAGTTTGAGACAGCGCCATTGGTTTGGGATTACTCACTGCTGACTGGACGAGACATCTGTCAATCAGCGTATACAGGAAGAACCAGTCAGCGGTGAGTAATACCAAACCAATGGCGCTGTCTCAAACTATACCTACATTTTCCGGTTTGTCTGATTTGTTGTTGTGTTTTCTGACTTGTTATAATGTTTTCTGAATTGTTGTTGTGCTTTCCGAATTGTTATTTTGTTTTTTAGACTTGCATTTGCATTTGTAATTTGTTATTTTGTTTTCAGAATTGTGATTCGCTTTGCACTTCTCGGCCACCGTAGATTAGGCCTAATTGGCTCACTGTTGATTATTTCAGAGATTTATCAGCTTTTATTGATTATTCAAGAAAAACACATGAAATTAATTTTTTTTAAAACTTTGAATAAACTGAATTGACCAATCTCCTTCAGGTTTTCTGTCCTCCTCAGAAGTAAAAAAAATCACCAACTCTGCTTAGAACCGAAAAACAAAAACAAAAGGACATTTATTTCAGAACACGTACAGGAGAATAAAATATTCATCCACAATCTATCATTAGCTCGTATAGAATTACGAATACTATTCAATTATTTATTACAATACTAATAAATATTTTTATAAAAATGTTTTATGTATTCTTCAATAAAATGGATTTCATAGGGCCTTAGTAATCTTGGCTGCCACATCAGTAAGCTGTAAAGGGAATGGAGACGGCAAGCTGAAGCAAGGATCTAAATGTAGGGGAATTTTAATAAAGAGACAGGAAAACACTAGAGAAAGGAATGCGAGAACTCTTAACACCAAACAATGACTGAAAAAGCACAAGAGACACACAAGGGCTATATATATACATACAAGGGAAACAAGCTTAACAATATAACAAGGAATTGGAGCAGGGAAAACACTTCAAAATAAGAGTCCATGACACAAACATTGGAAATATATAACACTGCCCATGATGTAAACCAACATTAACTGTACTGTGTTAATAGAAAGTCAGACAATATAAATATTTTTATTATGAAGTGTTTTTCCAAAATTGATTTTTAATAGCATTTTCATGTTGAGAAAGGTGGTCGTAGCTGGGCACCGCCGGAGTGCATCCAGTCTTAGAAAACAATGTGTTAAAATTTTGAAGATGTGACAAGGCTATGCGCTTCTCGTCCGGTGTGCGACCCCCTTAAGTGGGCTGTGTGGGGGCAGGACAGGAGTGGCACTACTAGGTAGAACAAAGGGAAGTTAATTTAGATTTAAAATATCTAATTGGGTGATGATAATTTGTATGCAACAATTTTACACGAATCTCCAAAAATAAACACATTAATTAAAAATGAAATCTCTTTCTTGCTGCCCTCACTGTACTGCCACCCTAGGCAGTTGCCTAGTTCGCATATAGGCACATGCTGGTGTCCTGACATTTTATCCTACCCGTCGGATTGTCCTACCAGGGTTTACTGCACATGCGCACATCAATATTGCGTCCTTTTTCTCACGCTGAATAACTATTTAATGTATCTGCATTACTGTAAGGATAGGCTTATGGTTGGGGTAGGTGTAGACTTTAATAAAACACAATCTAATAGGTAGAAAAAATGATTTATTATTGGTTTCCTGTAGCTGTATCTCTTCTAGCAACAGCCACGAATATAACACATAATTACTGTATTTGCATTACTGTAAGGGTAGGTTTAGGGTTGGGGTTGGTGTAGACGTTAATAAACCATAATTTTACAGGTAGCATTTTTTGCTGTCGAATTGTACTATCCGTTGTTTTAATGGGGGGTAGCAAAATCTGACAGGGTAACACAAATCGACAGAACACCAGCCCTGCCGCTAAAGGCCGTCTCATTTTGAAGGATCGTTGGAAGTCAGCCTTAGTTTTGTATCCGTCATTTAGCTCATGTTGAAGGATGCATCAAGTTTATCCTTCACGTCCTTCAGTTACCCACAACCCACTGCATACATTTTAATTCACAAAAAAGAACTGACCGAAAATGAGTCACCACTGAGCTTGTCTGAGTTCATTATTGTAAGACAAAGATGTTTTCGGAGATGAAGGCGTACATGTTATTTTTTGTTTTGGTGTAAATGAATCTCTTAACACTGAATGCCACTAAATGCCAATAATGTGGCCACTGGGAGACCACAGACACAGACATTTCTATTTAAATTTTTCTGTGAACATAGCCTATACTATAATAATAATAATAATAACAACAACTTTTTTTATATACTTTTGAAATGTTAATGTTTGTACTTTTGGAAATGTATCTTTCGTCTATCCTTATTTAGCCAAATTATTTAACATTTTAGGCTCATTTTTAGCACAAAATATGTGCTTTCTGTAAATGTAATTGTTTCTTGTGTAATTGTTTAGTTGATGTTTGTCATTAAGCAACTGCATGCAATGTAAGATAACGTACAGGTCTGAACCCTGTTTGAGTGCATTAATGCATTAATCATTATTTTTTCCATAATTAACCTCACCTAATTGATAGCATCACACCATCTTCTTTCAGTCTAAAGTAATGACGCATATGTATGGCGAAGGCTGATTGGCCTATCAGCAATGAGAAACCTTTCGGCACGCCCACTTCTCCGACCTACAGCAGTTGTCCCCAAAACAAGAAGAAAAAGTAGTCGCGAGTCGCGACTAGCGCAATCACACAGCTCTGAGTCTTCTGAGGTGAGGTAATTCGTATATTTACACAATTATGAAAACACAGCTCGTTAAAGCAACATTTTACAGGTCATTTCTGTGTTGTTTTAATCTGGTAGAGTTGTTTTTGTGCGTGCTTTCTGGCGTCTGCTAACTGAAATAAACATTTAGCCTAGCAGTCGGGTTGCTCACCATTCCGATTAATACGGAATCGTCCCGTATTTAAGATATCATTTTGTCCCGTATACGCAGATATACGCCGTATGACCACCCAGACGATATGAATAACAAACTCTAAATTGAAACTAATTCATTTTTTGACGAATCATTGTTTGTTTTGCGAACGTTTGCTGAAGGCGTTAAGACCCAGCAGAATCACAGCGAGAGGTTGATTGGTCTAGCTGTATTATTATTTATTTATTAGTATTATTTTTTTTATGAATGATTGTAACAGCATTTAAAAAAAAATATTTTGACTCGAAAATTCAAATCTTTTTCTATTAATCTAATAGTCTGCATTTACATTGCTTAAAGCAATGCATTTTTTTTAATGATCCAAAATCAATTTTTGAGCAAGTACATAACCAGCCAGCGTTCAAAACTATCGGTAACTAACGGGAAGCTTGTAATAATGTGTCCTAATATGAGTGCTACTGGTAGGTTTCCCAGAGATGTTCTTACTGTAGGGAGATGAGAGGGTCTGCAAGGGTACCAGATTTAAACTGGCTGAAGCAGTTCAGCACGTATTTTAGGTAGCCTATTTCAATAAGATAATTAGATTTTTATTTTGAGAACAGTGTCATATACAGTTTTTTTCCACAGGACTTTGTGAGATTATGATGGGTGGACCTCAGTCCCATTAGCATTTTGCAAATGTTAAAGATAAATTCATATGGTGCACTTTCAGAGTTCTAAATTAAGATCTCTAACCCATGTTCAGTGTGCAAATTGAATGAAGAAAAAGTATGTGCATTGTCCCTGCACTTGGGACTCAACCCTCTACTTTAGGGGAAGTCGTGGCCTAATGGTTAGAGAGTCGGACTCGTAACCCAAAGGTTGTGGGTTTGAGTCTCGTACCGGCAGGGATTGTATGTGGGGGGAGTGAATGTACAGCGCTCTCTTCCACCTTCAATACCACGACTGAGGTACCCTTGAGCAAGGCACCGAACCCCCAACTGCTCCCCGGGCGCCTCAGCTACTCACTGCTCCGGGTGTGTGTTCACGGTGTGTGTGTGTTCACTGCTGTGTGTGTGCACTTTGGAAGGGATAAATGCAGCGCACTAATTCCGAGTATGGGTCACCACACTTGGCCGCATGTCACGTCACTTTTTTTTTTCACTTATTTGTTGTACTATCTTAGTCTACATTACATTTACACTGGTGTTTTAGAAGGCCAAACAATTAATTTGAAAAAAATGAATCAAATTAAGCCAACATTTCTTTTGGATCTGTTTTTGCCTTGCTGCTGAGAAAAAAAAAACTGTGTAGCTAGTCAGCAAGTTAGAGCCTGATGTAAAATTATGCTTTAAAATCATATTTTTTTTTCATCATGTTGGAAAACACTGTTATCAAAATACTTATTGTTAAACTTTTGTATTTGTTTAAGTTAAGCAATATCTCATGAAGGGTTGATTCCTTTGTGTTTTATATAATGGTCACTGGGAGGAGCTCTAGACGTGGAAAAGAAAATATGTTTTTCTTGATCAGTTTTCCCTGAAAGGGTTAGTTCACCCCAAAATTAAAATTCTGTCATTAATTACTCACCCTCATGTTGTTTCAAACCCGTAAGATCTTCGTTCATCTTCGGAACACGAATTAAGATATTTTTTGATGAAATGTGAGAGCTCTCAGACCCTGCATAGACCGCAACACAACTGAAATGTTCCCATGTCTAGAAACGTAGAGTATCACAACACGTATTACGCACACTTTCCCCTAAGCGTGAACAACGCAGATTACGTTCTTGGGTACTCTCCAAAATGGCAGAAGACGTAACTCGGGGGAGAAGAATTGTGAAATAAATTATTTTAGTTTTCTTTGCGCTCAAAAAGTATTCTTGTAGCTTCGCAAAACTGAAGTTGAGCCACTGATGTCACATGGACTGTTTTACAGATGTCCTTACTACGTTTCTGGACCTGGGAACATTTCAGTTGTGTTGCGGTCTATGCAGGGTCTGAGAGCTCTCACATTTCATCAAAAATATCTTAATTCGTGTTCCGAAGATGAACAAAGGTCTTACGGGTTTGAAACAACATGAGGGTGAGTAATTAATGACAAAATTTTCATTTTGGGGTGAACTAACCCTTAAAGAGAAATGGGGTACTCAACTCAAGCTCACTGAAGACGTGTAAACAGTCAGATAAAATAAGAATAAGAAACTAATTACAAACAACAGGATAAAAAAACTACAGTAGAACAAGAAATGCTACATAAATTGTACAAAGTAATCAAATGTATAAAAAACACTGAAAAATGTATAAAAAAAACAGAGATTGAGATGGCACTGCTGTTTCTGAGATCGGCAGATTGAGAGATCGCCGATCCAATCAATAGAAGCAATTATCGGCTGATAGTGATCGGTAGCTGATCAATCGGAGCACCCTTATAGAGGAGGACACAGAGTGAGCTGCAGTGGGAAATGTACATGTTCAAGTTGCCCAAAACATGAGAATGCTGTAAAATAATAAGCACTTACAAAAGCACATATAAATAAGCATTTGCTACATCTTGCTCTATTATAATTTGACAGATGCGTGGGCATTTTGATAGATGGATAAACACAAACAATGATTTAAGTGCGAGATTAAATGAAAGCATAAATTTGATAACCGATTTATTTTTGATTTTGGCAGATCTGCTCCTTCAACCACACAGGACTTCACCTACAGTCCAGCTCCTCCCACAACAGTTTATGAAAGAGTTTATGTGAAAGAAAGTCAAAAACATGACTGATCCAGAACCCTGCGGAATAAAACAGGAAGATACTGAACAACAAATAGGTTTGTGTATGTTCTTAATTCTTCAATAAGTTTATAAAACTTCAAGCAGTTCATCAGATTCAGTGGTTGCAGTTATAAAAAATCATAAAAGCTGTGAAATAACAGTTAAAGCTGCAGATGTGAAGTTGCACGTTACAGTGGTTCATTGTTTTGATGATTACATTGAGTTGAAGCTCAGCTGTTCAGCATGGATGAATATGATGGATTGTGGTGTACTGGCACCTGTGGGGCATTAACATAGCATAAGTCACTGTAGTGCCATCAAAACTTGTCCCTCCAAAAAGATAAGACATACTGTAAAAAATTAATATGAGCTGGTATTGTCTTCAGCTGTTGTTTTGAAAACAGTTGTTTTAAAATAAATAACATCACAAAAGTTAGGCAGTGTAACCCTCTACGCACACCTTGGCAGTAGAATCGCCATTGGCTTGTACATTTTTTAATTTTACTCGCCAGACTAACGGGTAGTTGAGAAATATGCAGTGTAATTTTTTTTTTATTTTTGTAAAATACCATATTTGAAGAGAAAATACATATATTTATGTAGTGTGAAGTCTGATGTTTGAGAAAATATAAAGGGGTCACTAAATTTCTCAATTCGTTCACTGTTTTTTTGAATATGTTTACTGAACTGTGCCATAAATGTGTCCTGTGGTGTGACATAGCAAAAATGAAGAATAAAAAACCTCTTAATATACAAATAACGTGAGAGAGATTTATCTTCATTGTTATATACTTTTTTTTTTTTTTTTAAATAGTGCTATTTATTTAATATGAAATTATGAATAACATTATTTTTCCCCCATTAATTTTTGGACATTTTCAAGCCAAACTTTGACAATGTGACACTTTGCTGCCATTCTTTCAAAACTGCTGAAAATTATACCATTTTAAGATGAGTGATGATTATATCTCCCCTAATGCAATACTCAACTGTTATTTAAGATATTTTGAGATCAAAAACAAATTTGTAGTTCTTTTGTGCGTCACATTATAGGACAAAAACATCAGAACAATTTTAATTAATGTAATTATTGCATTTAAGAACACTGAAAATGTTCAAATGAAAGGAAAAAAAAGGAGTTAAATCTTGTTTAATTATTTAAAATGCTTCTTAAAGAGACCTTGTCCTTCAGTGTGACAGTACAGGTGTCACAACGGTGGACATTATCTGTCACACCAAAGGATGTTTCAGCCTTTTGTGTCCATTAATGACCTTGCTATTCCTAGCTAACCTGTCATTAGCAGGTAGCTGGACACATTTGCTTAATTAGCTTAAAAAGATTGTGTAGTTTAGTTTAACATACAGTTTTTAATTAACAAATATAATTTAGGGATGTCACACCAAAGGACAAAACTTAACACTTTTATAGTGGTTACAAAAAATGTAAAATATTTGAACAATTCTGAGACAAAACCTACCATGTTAACATGGGCTTCACAGGGGGCTTGAGTAACATGACCTTGAATGGGGTACTTCAACTAATTAAAGTTGTCTGTGGAATTGTCTGATTTAAAATCAGGATATGGTGTCACACCGGAGGACATGGTTTTCAGTGACAAAATGTATCTCGTTCCTACTCTTTTTAGAAATATATGGATGAAAAAAAAAGATTGCCATTTACTAAAATAGACATACTATCAAAGAATATAATTTACTTGTAGTGCATCAATTTTACGTGGTAAGACTGTCTTGCTCTCCCTCTCTTTGCATGTGTGAGAGAAACACTGAGCACTCTCAGCTAAGTGACGGCGAGTCGGCGCCTTCACACAGTTTATGGTGTGTCAAATGCGTTGTGCATCCATTGAGATGAATTAAAATAGTGCACTTTATAGATGGAGAGTGAAAGTGCGCAGTATTCAAAATGAGTAAAGGCAAGTGAAAAATCAGTGTTAACCTTTTTGTTAGCCTTTAACTCAAACACTGGCGAGTTAAATCTAACAATTTATTAGCCAATGGCTAATGATAGACCTAGCATGGAAATTTCAATTTTCTCAGGTTTCACATGTCCTTTTCCTTTCACATTTTTTTATTTTTTTTTTAAGATTTACTGATTTAAAAAAAAAAAAAAAAAAAAAACTTAACTTATTTTTTTTTACTTTCATTTTAGACCTGATGGAAGATAACAATGAGATTGAAGAAGGGGAGAACCATCATGTCAAAACTGAAGAAACATCCTGCAGTTCCTTATTGAAAAGAAGCGACAATATATGTTTCACTTGGCCTCAGTGTGGAAAGAGTCTCTCATGCAAGCAAAATCTTGATATTCGCATAAAATGCCATCTTGAAGGCAAGCTGTACGCATGTGATCAGTGTGAAAAGACTTTCACAATAAAAGGAAACCTTACGAAACACATGAATATCCACACTGGAGAGAAGCCATACACATGTGGTCAATGTGGGAAGAGCTTCAGACTAAAAGTAATCCTTAAAAAACACATAAATGTCCACACTGGAGAGAAGCCATACACATGTAGTCAATGTGGGAAGAGCTTCAGACTAAAAGCAACCCTTAAACAGCACATGAAAATCCACACTGGAGAGAAGCCGTACACATGTAGTCAATGTGGGAAGAGCTTCAGACTAAAAGCTACCCTTAATGAACACACAAGAATCCACACTGGAGAGAAGCCATACACATGTGATCAGTGTGGGAAGAGTTTCACACAAAAAGGATACCTTGATGCACACCTAAAAACCCACACTGGAGAGAAACCGTATACATGTAATCAGTGTGGTAAGAGTTTCACACAAAAAGGAGCCCTTAATGTACACATGAGGATCCACACTGGAGAGAAGCCGCACACATGCAATCAGTGTGGGAAGAGTTTCAGACTTAAGCAACCCCTTAATGAACATGTGAGGATCCACACTGGAGAGAAGCCGTACACATGTAATCAGTGTGGAAAGAGTTTCAGAAAATTAGGTGGTTTTAAAAAACATCTGCTTACTCATTCTAGAGAAAGACTAGATAACTGTGACCAAAGCAGTAAAACATTTTTTAGGGCAGATATCCTGAAGGACCACCTTAAAGTTAATGCAAAGGAGAAGCCTTATGTATGTTATTTATGTGGAAAGAGTTTTAGTCAGATGGTTGCATTAAAGATACATCAGAAAAGACACACCGGTGTGAAGGACTATGCTTGCTCTGAGTGTGGGAAGACTTTTTTTACATATGGTGCACTGAAAGTGCACAAGGCCGTTCACACTACAGAAACACCTTACAAGTGTTCACACTGTGACAAGAGATTCAAACGGTCAACATATCTGCAAATACATGAGAGGATCCACTCTGGAGAGAAGCCGCATGCATGTGATCAATGTGGGAAGAGCTTCAGACTAAAAGAAATGCTTAATCAACACATGAATATCCACAATGGAGAGAGGCCGCACACATGTGCTCAGTGTGGGAAGAATTTCGCACAAAAAGGAAACCTTAACAAACACATGAAAATCCACACTGGAGAGAAGCTACACACATGTGATCAGTGTGGGAAGGGTTTCTTAGAAAAAGCAAACCTTAAAGAACACATGAATATTCACACTGGAGAGAGGCCACACACATGTGATCAGTGTGGCAGGAGTTTCACACATAAAGGAAACCTTATCAAACACATGAAAAGGCACACTGGGAAGAAGCCACACACATGTGATCAGTGTGGCAGGAGTTTCACACATAAAGGAAACCTTATCAAACACATGAAAAGGCACACTGGGAAGAAGCCACACACATGTGATCAGTGTGGGAGGAGTTTTGCAGAAAGGGCAACTCTTAATGAACACATGAGGATCCACACTGGAGAGAAGCCATACACATGTGATCAGTGTGGGAAGAGTTTCACACAAAGAGGAACCCTTTATGAACACACAAAAACCCACAGTGGAGAGAAGCCATTTACCTGTGATCAGTGTGGGAAGAGTTTCACACAAAGAGGAACCCTTTATGAACACACAAAAACCCACAGTGGAGAGAAGCCATTTACCTGTGATCAGTGTGGGAAGAGTTTCACACAAAGAGGAACCCTTTATGAACACACAAAAACCCACAGTGGAGAGAAGCCATTTACCTGTGATCAGTGTGGGAAGAGTTTCAAACGAAAAGAAAGCCTTAATGATCACATGAAAATCCACACTGGAGAGAAGCCGTACACATGTGATCAATGTGGGAGAAGTTTCACACGAAGAGGAACCCTTTATCAACACAAGAAAACCCACACTGGAATGAAGCCGTACACATGTGAACAATGTGGGAAGAGTTTCAAGAATTCAAGGTTTTTTAAAGTACATCTGTGTACTCATTCTAGAGAAAGACAATATAACTCTGACCAATGCAGTATAAGAAATTCCAGGGCAGATTTCCTGAAGGACCACCTGAAAGTTCATACAAAGGAGAAGCCTCATGTGTGTTCTTTGTGTGGAAAGAGTTTTAGTCAGAAGGTTGCATTAAAAATACACCAGAAAAGACACACCGGTGTGAAGGATTATGCTTGCTCTGAGTGTGGGAAGACTTTTTTTACAGATGGTGACCTGAAACTGCACAAGACAGTTCACACTACAGAAACTCCTTACAAGTGTTCACACTGTGACAAGAGATTCAAACGGTCAGAATATCTGAAAATACATGAGAGGATCCACACTGGAGAGAAGCCACATGCATGTGATCATTGTGGGAAGAGCTTCAGACTAAAAGGGACCCTTAACGATCACGTGAAAATCCACACCGGAGAGAAGCCGCACACATGTGCTCAGTGTGGGAAGAGTTTTACACAAAAAGGAAACCTTAACAAACACGTGAAAATCCACACTGGAGAAAAGCCGTACTCATGTGATCAGTGCGGAAAGAGTTTCAGAATATCAAGTGTTTTTAAAGTTCATCTGCGTACTCATTCTAGAAAAAGACAATATAACTGTGACCATTGTAATAAATGTTTTTTTACAGCAAGTGCCCTGAAGAAGCACCTGAAAATTCATACAAAGGAAAAGCCTCATGTGTGTTCTTTGTGTGGAAAGAGTTTTAGCCAATTTGCTGCTTTAAAATATCACCAGAAAAGACACAGCGGTGTGAAGGATCATGCTTGCTCTGAGTGTGGGAAGACTTTTTTTACATATGGTGCGCTGAAAGTGCACAAGACAGTTCACACTACAGAAACACCTTACAAGTGTTCACACTGTGACAAGAGATTCAAACGGTCAACACATCTACAAATACATGAGAGGATCCATATTGAAGAGAAGCCGTATCACTGCCATTCATGTGGGAAGAGATTTACTCGGTTATCTTCTCTAATCTGTCATAAATTACATGTCTGCATGTCCGAAATTACAGTAAGTAGTTCAAGTTCTGATCCTGTACTTCCAGGTGTGATAGGTGCTAGGTAGGGCTGCATCAAGAAATTATTTTGATAATTGATAAATCAGAAATTATTAAAATCATTCATCAACTGATCGTTGATTATTTCAGAGATTTATCAGTTGCTTTTATTGATTTATTTTGTTTTTGGAGTTTGTTGAAATGTTTAGTTATACCCATTCTAACTAATAAATAAAACGAGTAAATCACTGCAGTTTTTGAAAGTGTCTTTTTAAGTAACTGCGTAAACTGAATTATCCTCTTCAGGTTTTCTGTTCTCCTTCGAAGTCATCAATACACCAACTTTGCTTAGAACTGAAACAGAAAAACAAAAGGACATTTCACAACACTCAGGAGGCTAAAATATTAACCTACAAACTATCATTACTTAGATCCCCTTATGAGCGCTGTGGCTGGCAATCTTGATAACACTGAGTCTTGCGGGCTTGAGAGCGTAGGCTGGCAGCTCACGCTGACATCAGCAGAGGATCCTCCACACTAGATACTAGTCTTGTCCACCCCGAGACAGGTCCAGTGGCAGCCATTATGGCTGATGACTCAGGAGCGGTGGCCATGACGGCTGGACCAAGGTCTGCGGGGGAAAGTTTAGGGGATTATTCCTCCTCTACCTGTCCTACTGTGAAAGGAGACCACACAGCTTTAGGGCCAAGTCCACATATTGATTTATGGTCCACCTGGGATCAACCCTGCATCAGTTGGCCGAGAGGTGAGAATATGCAGAGAAAAAAACTTTTCTACATATTTTTCAATGGGGTGGCCTTCTTGAAAAATTAAACGGGGAGTGCTTAGGCAGTACCAATTACCCCCTACTAGATCCATTGTGGGTCAGTCATTCTGTAACAAGTATTGGAGAAAGCAAGCTGAGACGAGGATCTTAAATGCAGGGGCACTTTAAAGGGTTAGTTCACCCAAAAATGAAAATGTTGTCATTAATTACTCACCCTCATGTCGTTTCAAACCCGTAAGACATTCGTTCATCTTCGGAACACAAATTAAGATATTTTTGATGGAATCTGAGAGCTGTCTGACCCTGCATAGACCGCAACGCAACTGAAATGTTCCCAAGTCCAGAAACGTAGCAAGGAGATCGGTAAAATAATCCATGTGACATCAGGGGTTCATCCGCAATTACACGAAACTACGAGAATACCTTTTGTGAGCAAAAAACCCCCCAAAAAACAACTTTATTCAACCATTTCCTCTGCATCACCCTGGTGCCATTTTGGAGAGTATCTGCTGGATGTAAACAACGTATGCTGTTCTGTGTCAGCTGCGTCACACGGTTACGCTGTTTCCATTCAGATCAAACCACAATAATGTAGGAAACGCATCCGGCGTGACTAGTTTCCTAGTCCAGTCCTTCAGAGGCTTGTAGAATAGAGTCTTCAACATTAAATGCTAGATTGAGATGGGCTAGTAAGTGCGCATGGCTGCGTCACACATGTTTTGGAAAAATACATTGTATTACAAATCTTTATATTATTTGGTAGGGCCGGAATAATAAATCGATGCGTCACGATTCGTGGATCGATTCTGAGATTTTCCAAATGCTTCACAGTCATCTCCCAGTGCTGAGCAAATGGAAAAGAGTCTGATGGGACTCGGGCAGAAATCATGTTCTCGGGAGTGGCTGAGCTTTTAATATGCCGCAGTCAACCACTTTTGCTTCTTCCGGTCAAGCATATGAGGGGTAATACTAGATACATTTGAGTGTGTTGAAAGTTCTGTTATAAAGAAAAACCATACAAGTGTTCACACTGTGACAAGAGTTTCAGTCAGTCTGAACATCTGAAAACACACGAGAGGGTCCACACTGGAGAGAAGCCTTTCACTTGTGATCAGTGAGGGAAGAGTTTTAAAGGTGGGGTAAGCGATTTCTGGCAGCCAATGTTGACATTTGAAATCACCAAAACAAACGCACGCCCCTATTTTGATAGCTCCACCCCACACATACGTACGCAACCCAGGCAACGATTAGTTCTGTGAAACAAAGCAAAACTAATGTTACACCGTGTCTACACCGGACGTGAGTGGCGCGGCACGACAAAATACTATATAACTCATTATAATCAGTTATGCAGTCTACTCCAGAGATATATATACATATCTATGGTCTACACTGGATGCGGCGCGGCACGACAAATCCCCGACAGAAAACTGCTGCTGCGTTCTATTCATGACGTATTGACACAAATTTCAAATGATTTTCAACAATCGCTTTGTCGCGTCCAGTGTACTAGACAGACTTTAGCTGTTGTGGCGCAGACACGGTGTTACTCATCTATCGAGAAGAAACAAAGCAACCTCAGCGTCCGATATTTACACAGGTCCTACTTATTGCCTTAAGCCTTCTTTTGTTCCGCAGACGGTTTCCCCTTTTTTATTTTATCCGCCATCTCTATCTTTCTGTCGCTCGGCTCGGCTAATTTCCGTCCCGTGCACTGAACGCGCTCTCCTCCACATCATGAGTAGACACGCCCCTTACTGCTGATTGGCTACAAGTTTGTTTTGCTATTCAGCCCGAATCAGTTTTCTATAGCGTTTCTGAAAAATCGCTTACCCCACCTTTTAAAGGATTAGTTCACTTCCAGAATGAAAATTCTGTCATCATTTACTCACCCTCCACTTGTTCCAAATCTGTACGAGTTTCTTTCTTCTGTTGAACACAAAAGAAGAAATTCTGAAAAATGTTGGTATCCGAACAGTTGATGAGCACCATTGACTTTTACAGTAGGAAAAAAAATTCTATAAAAGTCAACCCTAAAGATGCACCTGGAAGTTCATACTAAGGAAAAGCCTCATGTTCTTTGTGTGGAAAGAGTTTTTTTTATTTTTATAAAGTTGTTGGTTTGAACTTTATTCTGCCGTTCTCAACATGCAAGACTAACTGCAACACGTTCTGGCTGCACATCAACCTTGTATCCTCAAATAATAGACATGTTTTATTGAGCAAAGCCACAGCGGGTTTTACTTTGACTCAGAATCTGAGCAGGTACATTGTGTCAGTACTCGAAGTGGCTGGTGTTTATTCAGTGCTTAAAAAAATCTATAAATAAATGTACACATCATGCATCAAATCACTGGAAATGACCTGTTAGTATAGCATTTCAAATGGGCAACACACTGAAAATTAGCAGTAAATTCATTACATTTCATTGTATTTGACTGACTCTCATTCACCCTGATTTAATTACTGTTGCTGTGAATATTAAAGTGACCATATTGTGCATCTGCAGGTATTCATTCATTCAAAATGTACTAGGTTTTATATTTTGTCTGTGGCTCTCTCTGGTGGTGTCTGTATCATATAATCTCAGTATTAGACACAGTATTTGTATTCTATGCTTTAATAATGATTGCTGAGCGTCTGAAGTGCAGGAAGTCTAAAGTAAAACCAAGATAAAACAATATCATCTAAGATTTTTTTCTTTTTTACATTTTCGATTTTCAAAGTTTATTTTAAAAAGGTTTAGTGCTTCGTCTCACAGTGATGGAAATTGTTGTACGTCGTGTATTTACACAACCGTAACATATTTTTAGTTTCATGATTAAAATAACAGCATATACTTGAAGAATTACCGCGATATACTTAATATAGACCCTGTGAGGAGCCACGCGGGACCTTTTAAAGGTACGTAAATGTAATGTAGGTCGTTAGACACTGGAAATATGAAAATATTGCTGTCGTGCTGTTCAGTTTTAACGAAGATTTTATGATCGTTACTAGTTTCTGTCAAACAAAACAGTGCCTAATTATTGATCTAGTTCCTTTATTGCTATGAATGTAGTCGATCAATTATATTTAGATTCATATGAGCATATTATGTTACTGAATGGTAGATATATTTACCTGCTGTACTGTAAAGATGCGTATCCTGTATTTGTTTTAATGTATTATTATGCTGAGAATTAACATAATAGTTTGTCAATAATGCAAGAAGACAATAACAAAAAGTCGTTTTTCCAGCTAAAGTCAGTTCATTGATGATTCAGTGATGTTCTCTTCCAATAGTGACTGTGCAATCAGTCAAGCGTCCCCAACTAAGCAAGCCAAAGGCGACAGAGATGATCAATTAAACCAATTCGGTTCTGTCAGCGCTCAACATGTACTGATAAATATGGAAGCATATAGGTAGCGAAATTCAATTTAAAATGCAATATGCAAAATGGCAATGCAATATTCAAAATGGCATTGTATTTCAGTGAATTCAACAGTGAATTCAACGATCTTATCAGATCTCCAGCCGTCATGTTTCAAACGTAACACGCTTCCGCCAATCCCTGCCTTGAAGCAATGATTGATGGAGGGTGGGCGTGGTCAGCTCGGAATGCATTTTCAAATTGAATTTTGCTACAAATATCCCACGGCGTCATGATGAAAATGCAAAAAAAAAAGCCTTCAAATGTGCATGCAATTTACATATTAAGACTACTGTTGGAAATGGCAAATGTAAATTATATAATTTAATTTTCATTTTACTTTTGCACCAAACTTTGCACGTATGGGTAATGGAAAATGTACATTTAAATACAGAAATACAATGCCATTTTGAATATTGCGTTGCCATTTTGAAAATTGCATTGCCATTTTGCATATTGCATTTTAAATTGAATTTCACTACCTATATGCTTCCATAGATAAAAAGTGCACAAACTACAAAAGTAATTTTCTATTTACTTGCACAGGCCACACAGAAACAGAGCACTCCGATGAGAGAAAGCCATTTTACTCAACTTCAACAAAAATCTATGTTATTAAAGGACATTTAAGCTGAGATGATCTTTCACAACCTGATGTTCTCATTATGAGGTTTATACGTGGTTGCGAAAACAAACCACACATTTTACACTTATTACACAGACACACTCTACTCACACTCTAAAATCAGAACGCATAGACAAATGTTTTACTGTTGCTGTATTGGTTGATCTCTTCAGTTCAACAGCAAATGAGGAAACAATCAGGAAATGGTCAATCACCATCAGTTCCTCACTGATAAGTCGGATATTTTCCCATGTGGTCACTAGGTGGCGAAGTTATTTCAAGTCCTTACAAGTTATAAACTGTAAATAAGAGTTGAGACTTTTTCCATGTGATATTTTTCTAATTTGCTTTATATATTGCTTTTAACTTTCAGCAAAAAGTCAGTTGATTTGCAAAATGTAAAGTTCCCTTTAAGAGACGACCAATCG